GGAGACCCCCAAGGAAGCAGCCCTTCCCCCGGTGCCTGCCGCCGAGCAGCAACCTTCCGAGAGGCGAAGGCGCAGGGTGCTAGCCAGAACCGAGCTCCAGCACCACCACCTACCTCTCGCAGCGGACTTGAGCGCTGCACACGGTGGACCGCAATACCCGCGTGAGTGCAGGGCGAGGGGTGCAGGAGGTGCAGAACAGGCAGAGCTCGAAGGGGCAGCAATGCCCTCCCCCGAGGAAAATTCCTGCCACTTGACGCAACGCAGAGCAGTGGTGCAGGCCTGGCTCTCGGGCGCGAGGGGCCACCCTGCCCACAGCGGCCCCAGGCCCGGCGACACTCACCACACAGAGCCATAGGCGCCGGAGCCCACTGGAGACAGGTTCTGGTAACGCTCGGGCACCTCCCAGATTGTCTTGTTCAGCTCCTGCCGGTAGAACGTGGGCCTCTCCTGAGACATTTTCCAGCGGCAGTCGCCGGGCAAGAAGGTGGCCCTATGGGGCCCCCGCCTGCACCCGCACCCTCTCCCCGGCCCTTGCTGCCCGCCCAGCCGGGCGGGGACCTTGTGCTGGTCGCCCGCGCAGGTGCGGCTGCCGCGACCCCGCAGACTCCCGCGCGCGCGGCTGCTGTCAGCCGCCGCGGCTGGATGCGCCCCTGCGACTGGGGCAAGCCCCGCTAAGGGCAGGGAAGCGCTCCGGCGCTCAAGGCTGCGCCCGCCGCGATCTCCCTGCACCTTCGTCCCTACAAGGCCGACTCCGAGCTGCGTCGCAGTACTCCGGATCCAGCTGCTGCGCCCGCTGAGGCTCCAGTGGTCGCGGTTCCACCGCCAGCAAACAGGAGCCTCCCGCAGTACTCTCGCGAGAACTGCTCCCGGGACTCTCCGAGAGCCGAGATTTTACCCAATATGGAACCTCTTCGCGGGCGGGGCTTCGTGAGAGGAGAGGATGGGAGGAGCAGTTCTCGCGAGAAGAGAGCAACAACTGGAGCCCAAAGGCAGAAACTCCCAGGGACTGTCTCCTTAAGGGCGCGAAGGCGGACCAGGGAAGGAAGAGATAAGCGGGCAGAACACGCCGCGCGCGCCCCACCGTGGCCGGCAGGGCAAATTCCTAGCTCTGTGGTGGAAAACGACAGTGACAAATAGCGTGTCGGGGAAAGAGTCAAAAGATCTTTAACTGCGAGTAGTTACCAGCAGCGGAGCACCTGCTCAGCTGAACCCCCAAATTCCAAAAAACACTTGCATGAAAAAGAGACAGGTGGCAGGGCGCGGTGGCTCACGCCTGTAATCCCAGCACTTTGGGAGGCCGAAGCGGGCGGATCACCTGAGGTCGGGAGTTCGAGACCAGCCTGACCAAAATGGAGAAACCCCCGTCTCTACTAAAAATGCAAAATTAGCCGGGCGTGGTGGCGCGCACCTGGAGTCCCAGCTACTCGGGAGGCAGAGGCAGGAGAATCGCTTGAACCCGGGAGGCGGAGGTTGTGGTGAGCCGAGATCGCGCCATTGCACTCCAGCCTGGGAAACAGGAGCGAAACTCCGTCTCAAATTTAAAAAAAAAAAAAAA